TAGCCACTGGACGGTCAATAAACCCTGTGTGGAAAGCCACATACATCCACTGCTTGCGGGGAGGCATTTTGGCGATTGCGATCGGTGTGAACAGCAGGAATGAAGATTTTCAGCCTTAGTGGGTTGATATTGTATGGACCTTGGGAGCAAAAAAATTGTGGGATGTGATAGCGTCACGTGAGGGCTTATCGGGATGCCCAACTGGTCGTCCTCAGGCAGCGAGTGGGGGATGCGCTGAGGATATTGTACGATACAAATCAAATTGCTCCATGACTACTACTGGCTATGAACTCCCTATCACGATTACTCTGTATATATTTACTGACGTACTTCTCTTGTTTCATCAACAGGGGAAAGATATGCTGAGTCAGCCATTTCTTATCTTATCGGCGGGGCTTGCCTGATTGGGCGATAGATCATCGCCAAATGGAACAAAATTAATAATTCTCTCCGTCGCTTTGCCTCTTTACATTTCCCCTCCATATCCCCCTCCTTCCTCCTTTTTTTTCCCTTCCACTCCACTATCGGAAGGTTTTATTTCAAGTTTGGTGTACTGTAAGTCGAGTCACTTCACCACACAGTCACCATGGTTCTCGCAAAGTCCAAAAACTCCGTGGGGCTGGGCAACAGCCTCATGAAGGATCGTTTCGGAAAGGGAAAGGCGTCGAACATGAAGAAAGCCTCGCACAATCAAGCCGTCGCACGGAAGGACATGAACGGAGAGACATACATCACCAATGCGAAGGAGGATGCCGCCTGGGTGAAGATGCGCAGTATCACGGAACAAGCCGCTCTCGACGAGTTCCTGAGCACCGCTGAACTGGCGGGCACCGATTTTACCGCTGAGAAGATGAACAATGTTAAGATTATTCACGCCGATCAGAAGAACCCTTATCTCCTGTCCGCGTCCGAGGAGAAATCCGCTGTGAAGAAGCACCAGAAGAACAGAGGACGACTGACCGTTCCGAGACGACCGAAGTGGGATTCGACGACGACACGGCAACAGCTCGATGTTATGGAGAGAGAGAGTTTCTTGAGCTGGCGCAGAGGACTGGCTGAGCTCCAGGAGAATCATGATTTATTGATGACCCCGTTTGAGCGGAACTTGGAAGTCTGGCGACAGCTTTGGCGTGTCATTGAACGGTCTGATCTGGTCGTGCAGATTGTCGATGCTCGAAACCCATTACATTTCCGGTCGGAGGATCTTGAGTCTTACGTGAAGGAGATTGATCCCAAGAAAGAGAACCTTCTACTGGTCAACAAGGCAGATATGCTCACTGAGAAGCAACGAGAGGCCTGGGCAGACTACTTCGATCGCAACAACATCAGCTTCCGGTTCTTTTCGGCCCAGCTAGCGAAGGAGAAAATTGAAGCACAGCTTGCGGAAGAGGGCGACAGCGAGGATGAAGAGGTTGCGGAGAAGCTGGCGGAGACAACAATCGAAGAACAGTCAACTGAGGCGCCACAGGAGGAGCATGATGGAGGATTGAAACTTCCTGGCTCGAGCAGATCCCGGAGGACGGAAATTCTCGACGTTGATGAGCTCGAAGAACTCTTCCTGTCCAACACCCCCGATACTCTTCCCGAAAACGACGACCCAGAGAACCCACGCAAGCAAAAGACCGTCATTGGTCTTGTCGGTTACCCTAACGTCGGTAAATCCAGTACAATCAACGCCCTTCTCGGAGCCAAGAAGGTCTCGGTGTCCGCTACGCCCGGTAAGACGAAGCACTTCCAGACCCTTTACCTCTCGCCGGAGATCATGCTCTGCGATTGCCCCGGTCTGGTGTTCCCCAACTTCGCCACAACCAAGGCCGACCTGGTTGTCAATGGTGTCCTGCCCATCGACCAGCAACGTGAATTCACTGGCCCAGCAACCATCATCGCTCAGCGCATCCCCAAGCATTTCCTTGAGAACGTCTACGGAGTCACCATCCATACCCGCCCCATCGAAGAAGGCGGCACCGGCATCCCCACCGGCAGCGAGCTTCTACGCGCCTATGCCCGGGCCCGTGGCTTTTCCACTCAAGGCCTGGGCCAGCCCGACGAATCCCGCGCCGCCCGATACGTCCTGAAGGACTACGTCAATGGCAAACTTCTCTTCTGCCACCCACCCCCGGTGCCAGAAGGCCAAACCCCCCTTGACCCCAATGAGTTCAACGTTGAACTCTACGACATAGCGCACCTCCCCGCGAGGCGACAAGAACAGCTCCTCAAGGCGATGCATGCCGAGCAAATGGCCGAGGACATCGACGCCGACATCCTCTCGCTGCCCAAGCAACCCGTACAAGGCTCCCGCTCCCGCAACCTCGATACTGGCTTCTTCGGCGACGCCTCGAAAGGATCTGCCGGCCGTCTCACCCTCCCGTTCAACGCCCAGTACACCGAACAAGGCCAGCAGATGCGCCAACAGCTGACCGGTCGTAAGGAGCGGCTGATGGTCGCCCTGGAACGTGGCATCGACGTAACCGAGGTCCGAGGCGGTAGCTCGAAGAAGCATTTCAAGGGCAACAAGAAGCAGGCGAAGAAGAAGCGCGCCGTCACCGCGGACGATGATTACTGATCCATCTCTGATCTGACTCGCGGGCGAGTGGATTCATGTTTGCCTGTGGTTAATGCATGGGTTCGGGTTACGCTTTGGTTTGGTTGCATTTAGAAAAAGTTCTTTATGATCTCTCGGTTTGCTTTTATGTATGTAGGGTTGGGTGTTGATGTTGATGTTCATGAATCATGACCGTTCATATTAAATGAAATCAATTTCACCGTGATAATCTTCCAGATATGTAATTTATTCATTCATTCTGTATGGGGTAGTGATGGGTTTCCTCCCCAAGTAATCCGCTGTAGACAAATTAAAATCATCCCATTTACAAATGGCTCTTCAGCTTAAGCCCACTAGCAGCCAACAACCGCTCGCCCTCAGCCCGCTGCCAGTCCAACTTCTCGATAATAGCATCCTTGCGAGCCCGGTTCTCCCTCTTGCCAAGCTGCTGCAAGTGCACCTCATCCGGACCATCGGCAATCCGCAACGTCCGGATCATGGCCCACAGGTTCGCCAACGGCGTATCCTGGCACACACCAGCGGCACCATACGCCTGCACGGCACGGTCAATGACCGTCAGCGCGGTCTGCGGGACGAGAACCTTCGCCTGGGCAATCTCCTTGAGGGCAGACTTGGCATCACCCTGATCGATCTTGATGGCAGCATTGAGGACAATGAGTCTCGCGGCGTCGACCTCAATCCGGGACTTCGCCAGCCACTCGAGGATGACTCCGTGTGCGGACAAACTCTTGCCGAAGGTCTGCTTACGCTCGTCGTTGATGCGGGCGATGAGCCACTCGATCGCCTTCTCGGCAGCTCCGATGGTGCGCATCGCGTGATGGATGCGGCCGGGACCCAGACGGCCCTGGATGATTTCGAAGCCGCGGCCCTCGCCGAGGACAATGTTGGAGACGGGGACGCGCACATCCTTGAAGCTAATGTGGCCGTGTCCGTGGGGGGCATCGTCGTAGCCGTACACAGACAGCATACGGTGCACGGTGATTCCGGGGGTGTCGGCGGGCACGAGGATGACGGATTGTTGGCGGTAGGGGTCCTTGTTGGTCGGGTCCGATTTGCCCATTACCAGGTAGATACTGCAGCGGGGGTCGCCTGCGCCGGAAGACCACCATTTCTAGAGTCTTGTTAGTGATTGATGCGAGTTGTAGGTTGGGGTGATACGTGACGTAGGGGAACGGACCGATCCATTGAGGACGTATTGATTTCCTTCGCGGCGGATGTTCAACTGGATGTTTGTCGCATCGCTGGAGGCCACCTCAGGCTCTGTCATGAGGAAGGCTGAGCGAATCTTGCCGTCCAGCAAGGGCGCCAGCCACTGCTGCTTCTGTGCTTCGTTGCCGTACTTGGCGAGGACTTCCATGTTGCCAGTGTCAGGGGCGGCGTTGTTCGTGGCCTAAAGTAGTGATCGCCTCTCATCAGCATGTTGTCGCAGATATGTCCTCCATAGAGGAGGGGTGGGGGGAGGTCTGTACCTCTGAGGCCAACTTGCTCTTTCCCAGATACTCGGCCATCAGACCGTATTCGAGGTTGCTGAATCCAGCGCCCTGGGAGAAGTGGTTCTTGGGCAGGAACATGTTCCACAGGCCTTGCTGGCGGGCCTTGGTCTTGAGGGCTTCCATGACGGCTGGGTAGGTGGCCCATCGTTGGTCACCTTCACCCAGCTGGGCCTGGAAGACCTTTTCGGCGGGGATACATTCTCTTTCGACGAATTGTTCGACCTAGATGGGTGTTGCGGGGTTAGTATTAAGTGTGAAAAGAGGATGGCTTGAGATGGTTGGAGATGGTATACCTGGTCCAAGGTCTTCTTGGCCCGTTCGCTGACGAAGGGTTGGGCAATTGGGGGAATTCGTGTAGAGGCAGACATGATGTTTTGTTGTTTTACTATGAAATCAAACTCCAAAGATAGATGCTCTGGAGAATTATCCAGGAAGAAAAGACCAGTCGAGGGCGAGATTATAAAGGAAAGAGAAGCGTCAATCATACGAGTAGTTGTGGATTGCGGAGAAGCTGTGGAGCGGAGAAGATGCCGAACTTTGGCGTTGGACCTCGGCTCAGAACCGAATAACTAATCTGCCCATATGTATGTATAAATACGAACAGAGCATCTACATAGCATCAAGCATCCAGAACATTTCTATTTCAATCATTCTTCTGACTCATCACATCACAGTTCATCGCGCTTCATCCGTCAAAGTCCCTTACGCAATTAAAAACAATTTATGACCGTAACAATGACACAGTAGTCCCAAGCCATCCCAAGACCATTAATTCCCAAATGAAAAAACCCCAATTGCCCAAAAACAAAATCAAGTAGAAGAAAATCAAGAACCAGTCCTGCTAACACCGAACCGAGCGAGAAACAACCGATAATCCTGTCCAGGTACCATCCCCAAGATCCATGCGGCCGGCGCATGAGATGCAAGGGATTCTGGAACGTCGATTACTTCGGCATCTCGGCCTCACTGGCGTTATGGTTGGCAGCAGACTGCTCGAAGTTCTTCTTGCCTAGTTTGGCGAATAGTGATTGGGGCTTGCCAGCACTGCAGCACAGGTCATTCACGTCAGCATATCAGATTCGCCAAGTTAAACAATGAAACGCCAAATACTGGATGACCAAAGGCAATAGGCAGTGGACGTACTTCTTGAAGCGCTTGCCCTTCAAGTCGCTCAATTTCTTGGAGCACGGGCTCATAATGTCATCCGAAGGCGATACATAGCTGGCTTGTTGCCTGAAACACCTGTTAGTCTACCACCTTTTTCGGTAGAAAGATCCAATCCAATCCACTCACTTGTCTCCGCTCTCCAACTTGCCCTGGAGCACTTGTCGGTGGTATTCCATTGATTCGATCTTGGCGGGGGCAGCCTTGAGCTCGTTGGCCTTCTCGGTGTTGACCAGATGAGTGTTGGTAGAGCGATCAGCAAGAGGATGCGAAGGAGACTCCATGGTAGTTGTGTGAAGTAGAGGTTATTCGTTTATATGTCTGTGGAACAGATAGAGAGGATGGTTTCTGTAGCTTCTGCTTGAAGTGGATTTTGAATGGATTCAGCGAGGGATGAAATTGGATAAGAAGCGGAAGAAATTGGCTGCAAAAGCGAAAAAGCCGCGTTGTTGATTGTTGTCATGGCAACCGCCCGAATTTTACATCATCTTCATCTCACCTTCTACACATTCATAGCATGCATATCTCCGTTCATTTCTTCGTTCAGTCATTAGGATCATTAAGTATGTTCCTCTAATTACAGAAGTTTTTCACTCGTTACAGTTCCACCTTCCACCTTCCACCGCAGAATAAACATACACACCTTTGTGGTCCTATAATACAACCATATTAGTTCTCTGCACCATTGTTACAAGTGCCCATCATTCCAAGCGACCATTACCCATACCGATAAACAATCATACTTCAAGAGGCAAATTCCTCGAGGAAGAGGGCTTCCATATCTCCCGGACAACCGTCACATCGGCGGCAGGCCAGCTGTTCCGCCAAGGAATAAATGGGCACTCAAGGATGAAATCAATGCCTCCTGGGTGACGTCAATGACATGGGCCAGTAAACAATGACTGCCACAAATGACGCGACTCGGATACACGTAGGGTCACGTAGGATGTCATCAATAAGGATAGTCAAGGCGGCTGGTCGTGTGTACTCAGTGCATATTCATCCTTCTTGTTGTATGGTGTTGCTCGCCAAAATCGGCTCGCTGCTCTCCGTAGAACCTGGAGAATCATAGTCAGATGACCCCCGTGATTCATACGATATCGGGCTCTCGACACTCGGACTTTCCTCGTCGGCAGGGTTGAGTACTGGAGGACTGCTGTGCGACCGGAAGTGGGGCGGCGCCAGGTCCGGCATGCTGACAGTATCCAGAGAAGGTGCCGGCCTTTTATCCACTTCGTCAGGGCTAGGCGGGTCGGACGTAGGTGTCGGGGGAGAGTATGCAATAGTCGGACTGAGTGGCTCTTCCTGTGAGTCTTCCGACATATTCCGCCGATGGCGCCCCGTGGGCCGGTACGACGACGTAGGTCGCGTCGAACTTGGGCTTGCCGAAGGAGAGCCGAAAAATATCGGTGACGACGAGCGCAGGCTATAGGAGCGATTCATCATATTCTGCACACGCGGAATATCAATGTACGTGCCCACCGGAACACGTGAAAAGAGGACAAGAGCGAAGCAGAAGAGGATCATAATACTCTGGATCACGGACACTCGCTTCTGAAACACCAACTCATCGGCTAGAACCCCGAGCTGGGCACTGATCGAGTGGATCTCTTGATGGTACTGGATTCGCTGGTGCTCGAATTCCAGGGCAACGCTTTTCCATACTTGATCGTACTGTTCGCGGAACTGCCTCAGCTCGTTTAAAACGGTCACGTTCAAGTTCTCCAAGAACGTGGAGGTTTTGGCCAGCTGGCGTTTCTCTACCTTGCTAAACGCATCCCGTAGGATCCGAGACTGCTCTTCAATATACAACAACGATAGAGTCGAGTTGGACTCTAGCATCTGCAGCCGTTTATTGACGGACTTAAAGAAAGACTCTTGGGTGGTAGGGTTCGAGGATGGAGGCTGCGTCCCGGAAGGCCGCACCGATTCCAAGGATATGCTGGACTCCTCCTTAGGGGAACTGACCGACTTAATCTCGGACTCATGCGTCGCATCCTGTCGCACCGTGTCTGTACCTTGTGTCATAGAAGAGGCCGAATCTGGACTCGCACCGGGAGGCCCTGTTACTTTCTGGCCGCCCACCGAGCCCTTATCCGAGGGGTCAACCCTAGAGACAGGTACTGAAGCTTCTGCACTTGGAGTAGTTTCTTCGTTCGCCTTCGGGCGGCTCTCAGTCGACTGGTTAGCCCCATCATTCCCGGCTCCAGTCGGTGCGGTGCGTATATCGCAAGTATCCACGGGTGTGGAAACGCCTTGCTGTAGAAGTCTGATAACCTCTATACCCTGATAGGAACAAGATCCCTGCGCCTCGATGATAACTGTTGGCTCAATGGCAGGTTCATCAGACACGGCCACAGTGGTTGGAGGCGGCTGTGCGATGTCTCGCACGTCAGGCTCGACAGGAAGAGGACTCGGCTCCAGCGCCTCCACAGGGGCCTCCTCATCGGCACGATTAGTGTCACCGTCGTGTTTATATTCCTCCAGCATGGTTGTTCCATGGATTCTGACCAAACTGAGAGGGCAGTAGAACTCATTCCCATAGTGTGTTAGGAACTCAATTTTCACATATCGAGCCCAGATGAGTGGGTTTTCGACTGCAAAGGCTTGAATCTCGCGGGTATTACGCGCTTCGTAGACACCTAATTCCCTCCATTGGTCGATCTTGGCCGGATACCGATCAGCGACGCTCACACGGAAGGTATGGAAGATAGAACTGAAGAACTCGTAATTGGCAAGAACGACAGTATCAACTAGAATGTCATCGCATAATTCGAGGATGAGGAATTTGTTCTTTGCGCGGCATTCATTGAGCATATAGCTGTCCTTATTCTCTACCAAGACCGATGATGACCCTTTACATTCAGGATTCGTCTTCAGTACGGTTGCTGCACAATCAAACGATGCATAATTGAACCGTTCTTTGCAAGTCGTGCCGGCGTCCTTCCCACGCGAGGCAGCCTTCCGCAGATCGGCAGACACAGAGGTCTCCGCATCTTCTGCGCTGGCCACAGCACCCGCACCAGGTATACCGGCCGTGGGCAAACTTGCTCCCCAAGACGTAGGCTTCGCCGCGTCAGACGCATCAGCGCCGAAACCACCAAAGTCAAGCTCAATCTCAGCATCTTCTCCCAATGAATCCAATGCATTATTGATCCCCGTCGGCCTTCGTCGGTCGTCTTTCCCACCCGCGTGTCTGTGTCCGCGAACATTCTCCGCCGACTGGCCCACCTTCGCCAAGTTTTGCTTTTTCCAGTCTTCGAACGAGAGGAAGTTTGAATTGTCAAGGGGAGATTCGGTGTCAAGTTCATGGTCAGGTTGTCCACTAGGGGCTGGAATCGCAGTTGTACTCGGCGCTCCCTCCGAAATGGTCACCGAAACGATCTGGTCAGGGGATCTCGGCGCGTCCTGAGTGAACCTGGGGGCGGTTCGCTCCCATCGCGATTCGACACAAATGGGCCATTGAATGAAGTCCGCTTCCACCTCGCTCCAGTGCCTTGCTAGGCATATCGCTTGCTTACTCTCGGCTGCAGCGCCCGGGATCCCAGGGAGGATCAACGCTGTCGTCAGGGATGTCCATGCCGCTGCTGCCCACGTGGGGACCATCGCGCACACTTGTGGTTTGATCGTAGTTTCGATAGTACGACAGGTGAGTCACGGCGTTAGTTAGCTATACTGGTATTGAGTCGTGGATGCATTGTCCGGGCGATATTACGACTGTGGCGATTTCCTATCGTCAACTGAGCGCAGGGAAAGGGAAAAAGTCCCGAGCTTATCGGCGTTGGGTAATCTTTGATTCTTTGTCTGCGCGGCGGGGAGGCAAGAGGACAACTGGCAATTGCACAAGGGACGTAAAATACCAAGCAAATTATCCTGTGCAATCGAAAAGTAGAATACAACAATACAGAATAAAAATCCTGTCGAGAGAGATGTTGAAGCTTGAGAAGTGACATCTGCGCATGGCGGTCTGTCTGTAGCGCTCGTGACCGCCTCGCGTCACCGCCGATCGTTGGGAAATGAAATTACATTGATTGCGCCAACTACGTACTACTAGCAATAGTAAACACGAAGACCACTTCGTCCAAGTATACTGGAACTCCCATGAATCTACTACTACGAATACTAGAAACGGACAAGTCCACGAGAATCACTTTTGGGTTTGTATTTCCACCATGATGTAGATAATCGTTCACTTCACACCCATTCCGCTATCCCCAGCTAAACTACAGTACAAAGAATCCAGTCCAGTACATCATCCACCTGGGTCAGACCGGGACGTGAGCGCAGAAAGATCGATATCCCGTCTCTCGTAGGCTTTCTTTCTGGATTTGTCGTTGAAGAGTGCCCTTTCCCCGTCATATTGCTTCTGCCTTTGCGCCGCCGTCCTATCACCATCACATTGAACCATTTTGTTGAGAAATATAATATTCGAACAGTTTGAAAGTGGAGGAAGAAAAAGAATAGCAAAATCAAACAAGCGTAAAGACTCCCCAAAAACCTTCCGGTTGTGAGTTGATGAGTCACTTTTGAACTGCTTGCCACCACCAGTAGTTATATTATACAGGAGTAAAAAAAGAAGAAACAAAGAACATATTGGGCCGCTTTGATGTCACACACAAAGTGTCTATAAAAGCCTGGAAAATAATAAAGTCATGTCGACGCAGGGCCCGGCGCAACATGACGGAGTGGAGAAATGCAAAATTGGTTTGAAGAGTTTAAGATAAAAAAAAGAAAACGCAAAGAACACTGAGCAAGCAAAAAGGTAAGGTGGTCGGTAGTTTCTTGGTCGTGATGTAATTAGATTCTATAGGGCAACACGATGTAAGGGACGCGGAGCGCAGCCAAAAGTAATGACATTGTTGGCGCTTACAGGTGGAGGTCGTGCCAGCCACCAACCAGGTCAAGGTCTTCATCGATGCTTCCATCATAGCCGCTTGCCGGCTTGGTATATGTAAGCTTGGAGGACTCCACAGCATCGCGACGCCACCCCTTCTCCAGGAATGGGCGACGGCGACGTTCTGGAGAGACAGGTTCCTTCTTCGCCCAGGATCCATAGTCGAACCCTGACGAGCCCAGACCCCAGTCTTTCCGCCAGGCCATGTTGTTCAAAAACTTCTTCTGCTTGAAGGACACCTCGGCCGGCTTGTAATTCCGTCGACGGTCACCCAAAGCGGCCCATTTATCCAGGTTCGACTTCTTCGATGAACTTTGTGGAGAAGTAGGTGCCGACTTGGATGTGGCGTTCTCGTCGTGGAGTGGCTGTACAGGAATGGCACGGGCCTCGGCGGTGGGAACTGCCTCGTCCTGTAACTGGATATTGAGCATTGATGTAGTTACATCCTGAAGAACGCTGGAAGGGCCAACGAGCTCAGGACTACTACTGTCATGGCTCCAGCTACGAGAGTTCTGCTCACGTCGTTGCTGCAACTCAGTCTCTTCGCTTTCCAGTTCCTCGTCCTCATCCCACAGGTCACTCCAGCTCTTGGAAATTTGGTCTTCCTTCTTCTTACCGAATACCATGGAAAGGGAAGGCAGAGGCTTGGGTGGTTGGCTGGGCAAAGACCCTGTGATGGTGACAGGGTCGGACAGGGGTGGGAAGCGGGGCTCAATCTTTTTGAACGCGGTCGAGCGGTATGAGTCACCCAAAGCAGACTCCATAACAGAAGCCATGGACGGAGTACCCTGGTGAACAGAAAACCAGGAAGTACCAGCCGTCTCCGATGGTGGGAAAAGATCCTCGTCGTAGCTGTCGTCGGGAATTGCGGACAACTTCCGGATATCCTGGGGCGGACTGTACTGAAGGGCTTTGGCCCAAGGGAACGAGTCGCCTTGGTTGACGAAGGGGCTCTGGATCGAAGGGGTGCGAAGAGGCTCGCGATTGGCGCTGGCAGGTACCATTTCACGGTCATCCGTGCAGAAGTCATCGAGACCCTCGTCATCAATGGTAAAGGTGACAGTCCGGAGGATCGCATCACGGATGCCAGAGAGCGAGCGCTTGTTAGGGTCGATGGCCAGTGCAAGTCGCAGAATCTCAAAAGTATCTTGAGACATGTTCGGGAAGATGTCGAACAGAGATTGGCGGTCCCGAACATAGTCGGCGAACAAGATATCGGATTCGGTTGGCGTTGCGAAGGGGTTTCTAGCGAAGAGGACATTGAGCAAGCAGATACCAACGGCCCAGATATCAGCCTTGGCAGGAGAGTATCCTGTGGTAGCCGGGTCGTATTGCTCAGGTGCCATGTAACGATCGCTTCCCACGCAGGCCTCATAGCACCAGGCTTCGCCAGTTGCTAGACCTAAATCGCCCAATTTCATGCAACCATCCTGCATCAAGAAGATATTCTCAGGCTTGATGTCACGGTGATATAGACTTTTGGCATGCATGAACTCGACAGCGCTCACTAATTGCAGCATGAAATCCCGTACATGCTCGGTTTCCAAGGGACCACGGTTGAGTCTGATTGCCTCATAGAGATCGCCATTCGCACAGTATTCCAAGACGAGATACATGTGGGTCTCGGTCTCGAACGAGTGAATGAGGTTGACAATGTTCGGATGATATCCGAGACGACGATGGCAAAAGAGCTCATCGAAACGATCATCAGGCATTGCCCCTTTCACCATGCACTTGACAGCAACATCCTGGCCAGTCTTCATATCATATGCGAGGAAGACCATGCCAAAAGAGCCATGGTTCAGGGGAGCAACGGTGCGGAAGCGCCCATCCAGGAGCTGCCCCTCAACGAAGCTGTTAGGGAGGTACGACATGGTCGAGTGATGATCGAAACAGTAAAAAAGTGATCGGAGATTAGAAGGAAACACAATTGCAGGTCTGTCGACGGAAAAGACCTGCCTCGCGGGACGAGATTTCAACAGAGCGGGCGGGCAACGAAGATTGGATAGAACAAAGCGAACCAATAGTCAAGAATTGTAATGCCGGCCCAATGAATCGTAACGGAGAAAACCCAAGAGAAGAGATCAAAAAGGAAAAAAGAATTTGAGTATAAGATAATCGAACAGTGGAGTGTCGGTTTAGGAGATCATATAAATATGAGATGAGACAAAAGGAAATAGACGAGGACGAGTCAGCGCAGAGCGCAAGTCAAAGCAACCCAAAGGAAATTGACAACGCTAGGAAAGTTGTAGAGACTGTTATGGGTTCATCTGTATATCGTTTCAGTGATGTGGGCGAAGCCGAAAGTCAACTAAGTATGGCGATAAAGAGAGTGTGTTGAAGAGAAAGACGACGTCCGGCGGATGGACGAGAAAACGAATCAAATAAGATGGAAGATGGAAGTGAAGAAGACGAGCAAGAGCAAATCAAAACGCTGCGTGATATCGTAAATGCCAGATGTATAAACAGTTGTCGTTATTAAAGACCTTCGAACACCAGGTTGAAGGACAAGGGCGGTCGTGACTCAGGGGAGGGGTCAGAATGAAGTATGACGCTATAGACTCATAGGATGACTGAGCAACAAAATAGTCCTGGATTGGCAGGAGATTGATATATAGAGGCGCTGAAGCTCAGGACAACTGGTACCAGGCGTCTTCAGATTTCCCTAGGTTGGGCAAATTGAAGAACCGAATACCAGCAACCGGCTCAGGTTGCGAACGGTGGAGTCTAGGACAACGAAGTCGTCGGTCTGAGTCTTGCAAGTCGACGCCCTCACACGTAGTCTCAATGTAGGTAAGATGAAACGTAGCAGTACTCCGGTCGGCAGATTGGAGAGAGTCGTGGGTCCGAAGTACCTTACACGTTGGCTTGAGAATGAGTCACCCGAGGTGTTCGGCAGGGCAGGCACAGGACAGTGGCACTACAATATCGAGTTGGATTGGACTGAGGCACGAAACTTGGGCAGTAGATCGAATTAGGAGCTGACACTGATATAGTCTGGAGCTTTGAAACCTAATATGCTCTTGCTGCAACGAGGAGGCGAGTAGGGACGTCCGAGGACACTCGGGAGATTGGCGATAACGGGTGGCGACGGAAGCTGTGTTGGGAGACGATGGAGAAGGGAGAAGGAGCAATGTGCAGAGGAGCGACGGACGGGATGCAGAGTAGGAGGAGAGGAAAGACGGGTGATAGGAGGGAGGAAGAGGAAGAGAAGAAGGAAAGAGGAAGATGGTTCGGTAGGTATAGGCGGACGGTGATGAGTGAGTCGAGGTGAGCGGATCAAGTTGACAGCAGGAGCGATAGGGATGGATGGATAAGGAGGTCCGGATGATAACCAGAGGGGGGGGGGCGAAACAGTCAGTCAAATGGGACCGGCAGTCGGAACCTTTTACATCTCTGTAGGAGGGTGGAGGGCAGGCCAATCCACTCCCTGCCAGAAACTGGGCGAACGAGCGAGAACCTGACGGAGCGCTTTTGCTGACTGGGTAGTCGGACTAACACGGTGGAGTCCGATCAGTCAATGACTACAATTCGTTACCGTACCAATACCTCGTCCGAATGGTCCCCCAACAATAAGGTACTGCCAAGTTCCCCCCAATGCTGCCCAGCAGTAAAGAAAAGGTCCTTCAGTACCTCGTGGTATCGATACGTGCGATCTTCGTCGGCCCACCAACCTTTTCGATGGATGCAGGTCGAGCAGAAGACGCGGCTAGACTGTTTCCGGCGCGTAGGCTCCACACCCCCCTGAATGAATCATACTTCTGATGGCAGAACGGATATCGCTGCATCCCCCCAAATGTTTCCCATTATCTTTATTATCATCATCATCACTTTCGGTGTCGTGGATGAGTATCTACCTTCCCTTCTCTATTTTTTTTGGTGTCCCTTCCACCTCCCCCCACCTCCCCATTCCATTGTAAGAGAAAAAGGTATGGTATGTATGGCTCAGACATCTGTTACACCCAGTAATTTACCAGTTTTTCAGTTCAATTATTCCCGATCGCGTCAGAGATGACGAAGAATCCCAACGAAATTAGTTATTAGTAATATTCTTAATTCTTGATGATGGAAGACCATTCCTGGCTGCCTTTGTGACAAGGCATTCATTCCCGTTTCCCATTGTTGTCCTTACAATCCACCCGCTGTCATGATGGCTGGCATTGAGAATTGCATCAAATGAAGCTCGTTCCGTCATTCCTGCGAACTATTCAATTGCCCGAGTGATCGTTGCCGAATATGTTATCTAACCCAATATGAGCATTGATAGCATATCAACCTACTGCGCAGTCCAACAACCCATGCGACTTTTGATGCGCTAGTTCAAAGTTTATGAGGCCTTAATTGAAAAATTAAAGACTTAGCACGGGACATAGCGTGGCATAAGTTCCAGCCTGTCCAAAGTTAATACGACATGTGTGCTCAAGCTGCTACCTAATTGCATCAATAAGGCAGACGGGGAGCAATAAGGTCGGGAGATAATACTACTCGTTAGGACAGATATTACAGGCAGCCGCCCGAGCATCGAAGCGGCATGGGACGTGGTCCGTCCTGTGCCGACTAAGGCCAAGTTCCTGCAGGTCCAGACCAGGGTCCTCCCCCCCTCCGTCTCCATCGTTATGCAGTGTAGTGGTCAGTTCCTGATACCATTCATAGCAATACTACCCACCGGGACCAGTGACAAAAAATAGAAGACCTTGGGTAATGAGAACGCCCGCGACCCTATCGGATGGAGGTTCCTTTCCTCCTCCGTCCTCGGCCGCGAAGGGGATTGGAAATGCGTAACGGGAGATGCTCCACATGGGTGATGATGAATGATACATCATCATCATTGCTTCCATTTTCGATTTTGCCTCGCCCCGAAGGCGGAGCAACGGTGGCGGTAACGCTACTCCATTTTCGGATCCTCACACTGCCGCTAATGCCGATCGGGACCAATGATGAATGGCCGAGTTGGCACTATTCCCAGGCTGCATGACGCCAGCACAATGTGGTGGCCTGGTGGCCAATAATGGCAGCATCCGCTCCCTCGACAAGGAAAAAGAAAATAAAATAAAATCCCGGGGCAGCTTCGACGATGATCATTGTGGATAGCGTGTATGGGGAAGATGAAATGGTTGCAGGTTTATTTTTTAGAATGGTGGTGATGATGATGAATAATTTTTTGTACTACGGATGTACCTGTGCCTCCCTTCGAGTTTATTTTGTTTTCGTTTCTTTTTTCTGAATTTTCTGTTTGTCATTTAACGAACGGGAAACTTTTGTTTGCTCTATTAGGTCTAATTTTTCAGATCAATTCTCTCTCCGAGGTTTACAAGGTTTGACACGCTCATGGTTCATCCGATCTTGGTCCCAGGGAAAAGCCGATGAATGAACCACACATGCTTTCTCTTGTGTTGCCCGGCGGAAGAGTCGCGATCCAACCACTGAATGTCCCGTATTCTCCTCCACGCGGGAGACCTTCTCCAGTGCGTAGTAAACGACTTGAGCAACTGGAACGGCCCTTGACCCAGTTTTGCGGGGATTTGATTGTGTGTCCTTGACGTTTCGTTTCAGGATGGAGTATCTATTAAGACAGGAGGCGGGGAAGGGGAATGGGGAGATGAACGTATGATGTAGCACAGCTCGAATGACACGAATGCCCTCGAGGGAGATTGACGTTTCGACGACCCCGTGGCTGGCATGGCATGCTTACTTACTCCATACTATGAAGTGACTAAGGAACATGCCAGCCTACATGTTTGGCGGTGAGGGCGAAGAAAACGCTGCAGCCGCTTGACCGCCTCGTCGAGTGTGTCTGTAAGGTTTGTCCTTGCAGGAGAGTGGTTGCGTGTCTCAACTGCCTGTGTGCACTTCATAAAAGACCTCAACTATGAATTGGTCAAGGGTCGGGGTGGCATCGTCCACGGGTCCTCAAGGATAATGGTTCTACCCCATCCGGATGCGCTCGATTGGCCTCAGGTCATGCCCTGGTGAGGATCACGCGATCGATCCTCGCAAAGATCCCCAACATCCCTTCCGAGGACCGGTTGTTGTTGGTCAGCCCAACGAAGTACCGGTACGCTCCCATCAACACTACTACTTCCTACTAATTCCTACGACTTGGACTCGTGACGCTCCTAGTGGAAAGATTTATAAAAGGTGTTCTTTGACCTTCGATTGAGTTGCGTTCTGGATTGACCCGCGGGGATATCTTCCGTGCTTTCCATCCATCTCATTTGTTCTACAATGAGCTCACTGTAATCTGGCCACCTCATCATCACAAATCGGTGGCAGGTGTGGATGATTACCCTTTCATGGATCAATGGTTCAACTCCCCTGATTGGCGTGAATGAGCTGGATAGATTTAGACGGAATCTCGTCGACTACTAGTAGTGCAACAACGATTCCCATGGTGATAGCAGCATTGGACCCAACAACAATGTTGAGATAGGAAACCTAATCGGTTGCTATCACTTCCAACTCTAATAACTGGAGATGGACTCTCTTCATATTTTTGGGGCAGAGGTCTCTTATCGCGGGTGATGACGATATTTACATAGGTGGATAGATAGTAGTGATAAGCAACGCTCTGATGATATCAGCGACGGGGTATGAATGGATAACGTTCCCTATCTCAGTTGATTAATCCCAGCAATCATCTAATCTGAAAGGGGGGGGAATGATAGAGAGCCCACCAACCAAGTGAGATCACCAGCCATTGCCAGGCTGGCAACATCAACAAAGTACATGCATCAAATATACATTCAGGGATCAACCACCTAATGTTGGTCCATCCACGACACTCGTTGCCTCTTTGAGTCGAAGAAGTATCACTACTTTATTTACCCCGCACGATCTTCCCGGAGGCTTGGTTGTGTTCACAATTCCTCCGACA